GCAGAGCTCACAGGCTATCGCCCTCGCGTTTATGGGCGAAAGTAAGCCCCTTCGTGATTACAACACGTCCATCTCCCACTCATTATTGCCTCCTGTAGACGTAGCTCCGGGTGTCAAACGTATCGTCGACAAAGTGAAGGCCTACCCAGATCAGCTAGGCAGTAAGTCTCTCCGAATCTTCTTTTTTGCGCGTTTACTCACACCTTCAGCCGTGACCTGCTTCATGGTTGTCGGACTGTCTCAAGCGCAAGTACCCGGTGAAGGCTCCCCCACAAGACGCTCCTCAGCCGCCGTCCTCTCACGAGACCCTCTACTCTGAGCTTGGCAACGACTCGAACGCCCGCACCGTCGTCGGCCCCGACCTAATGAGATGAATTTCTGGTACCATGGCATCTCTGGCAACCCTCCCAAGTTCCGATCTGGAGACCAACCCCTTCCCCATTCCCCCGCTTGGAACCAACTTCTTCAAGATCCCCACCAAGACTGCCCACGGCGTATTCAACATGCCGCTCAAGGACGTGTGGGGCGACACCGTCGCTCCTCGGATCCTGGCGTTGATGATGGCCCACGACATCAAGTACTCTGCGCTAGAGACGGCTCGCTTCTCGACCATCGAGGACGGCAAGGACGAAACTCTCAGCCCCATCGTTGTGTGGATCGCCGTTCGTCCCAATACCATCAACGCCGGGGCCGTTCGCGATGCCACGCTCGAGTGGTACGAGGCGTCGTCAGGCTGTCCGACCCGCCTCCGCCTCTGCGCAGATCGGCGACCGCGTCGTGGAGTCGGAGACATTTACGGGTGAGGAATTACAAGACATGTGGACGTTGGGAGCAGTGCTTGCAAGGTAAGCTTTCACCCAACAATTTAAAAGACTGGCATTTAGGACATGGCCGGAGTCAGATGTACGGAGTCAAACTACCTCTTCAAAGTGCCCAAGGGCCTCGCACCGGAATATGCCTCTCAAGTGTGCTGCACGAACTATACTTCCAGTTTGCACGGCTCGCGTGGGTTTGGAAGGTTTACTCTGAGGAGATCCAGCCTCTGCATCTTACGGAGCGTTAATGCGCGAATGAGTAACGTCGGAAAGCCCATTCAAACTTGTAGTTGACGCACAGACGTTGTAGACAGTCGGTTCATTTTTGTAAGCAGCCAGTACTATCCATCATCTTCTTATCTTGTCTTGATCGTCGACCGTGAATCGCGGTTCGGGACACCGCCGAGTCGCTTCTCACGGGGCCATAATAGACGCCCTGGAGTGAAAGCGCTCTACGATGAACCCCCAGCAAGCATGGGCAAACCCCTGGGGCCAGCCCCAGCCCCAGCAGCCATATTATCCGCCGCCTCCAGCCCAGTTTGGCCCACCGCAGCATCCAGCGTATGGAGGAGCATACTGGGGCCAGGCGGGCTGGGCTCCACCGACTGCAACTAACGCAGGTACGTCTTATCTTATGATGTGGGTGCAATGTAAATTCATGGGATGCAGCATACTCTGCCAAATATCCGACACTGAACCCGGTGCTGGCGTCTGATTCGACCCAAGTCCGATACGACGTCCGCAAGAAGGCCCGTGCCGAACTGCCGCCCCAGACCTATGCCCCCAACCGTCTGCTGTTTGCGACGTCCAGCTCGGCGAGCCACATTCGACTCATCAGCAAAGCCTTCCCATGGTCCATCGACATAACATCGAGCACACCCGTAACCTGCGAGGCCGTCTGGGATGCCCTTTATACGGCCCTGCAACAACACATCGCCGACTCGGAGTGGGGAATCATCATCGGCGACAAGAAACTTCGCGAGACCATCGAGCGCGCGTGGAGAAAACGACAGGAGAGCGACGGGGACACCAAGGTGAAGCGCATCGACTGGCTGGGAAGCAGCACGGTGTTCAAGGGCTTGGATAAAATGGAAGAGTTCACCGAGATGAGGCTGCTCCCTGGTGCAGAGCCATGCGCGGAGACATGGGTCGTAAAGCTCGGAACTGCGTAGGATTGGTTTTTTTTAAGGGATTGGTGGTAGATTGTATCCTGTGTGTTGTACTGACTGACTTGTATTCACGACCGTTTGCTCATGAGCTCGAATTCAAAAAGCCGACATCAATAAATTTTCTTCGACCCACCGTTCATGGTCTCGTTCTCGTCCGTCTTCCTCCCCACCTCCGCCTCACCCCCTCACCTTGACCATCCAGCTGCCACGCTTGCCAAGACACCGTAAAGAAACCCAAGCTCGACGCGCACTACAACAAGTGCTATTCCGGGTTCGACTGCATCGACTGCGCAAAGTCCTTCCACTCGCCTGCCGAGTTCCGCCAGCACACGTCCTGTATCAGCGAGGCGGAAAAGTACGAGAAGAGCATGTATCGCGGGCCAAGGGTGTGTCTGCTTTCTTTCCTTGAGCGATTTTTTTTGCTGATGATGATGCATACGTAGACTGGCAGCGGGTTCAACCGAGGTGGGTATGGTGGCGGACGCGGCGGCCGAGGCGGTGGGCCTTCTTGGATTCGTACGCCGGCAACAGGCCCGAACGAGACGCCTTTGGGGACACCGAATAGGATGTCGCCCGTAACAACACCGGCGGCAGCCGTCCCAGAAGTGCCTGCTGCTCCTGTGGCCTCTCCTGCAACGAAGGAGGAGAAGAAAAAAGAGAAGAAGGAGCGTAAGGACAAGGTATGCTTCATATTCCAACCACGCGCACTTGCATTTCTTTATTTATGCGACTATGTAGACCTCCCCCGCCGAGCCGCAACCACAATCCGCTGACGAACCTTCCAAAAAATCAACCAAAAAGCGCAAACGCGACGAGTCCGACGTTGCTGCCGTTCCTGTGTTACTCGTAGAGAAGAAACAGAAGAAAGACAAGAAGGAGAAAAAAAGCGACGGCGGCGCCAGAAGAGGCACCGACGGAGGTGGACGCGGCGGCGGCGGCGGCGGAAAAGGCAGAGAAGAAGAGGCGGAAAAAAGAGTTGAAGGAGAAGGAGAAGGCTGGGGCAACAGTCGAGGACGTATCGGAGGATGGGAGGAAGGAGAATGAGGCACAGGTCACCGAGGCGACGAAAAAGGCCAAGCGGAAGAAGGACACCGACAAAATGGATGTCGATGGCGCCCCGCCAGAACACAAGTCCAAGAAGGATAAGAAAGCCAAGACTGAGGCGGAGGAGGTGCCAAAAAAGAAAAAGAAATCAAAGTCGACCGAAGCGGTCGTATGATTTCGTGTTCTATCCATCTTATCTTGTTTTAGTCGTGCACTACATGCTATCTTCAGCCGAAAAAGCATACAGCATGTTTGTGTTCTTCTAGGTAAATCACAGTCAGTCATTTGTACAGATACAGTATCGCTTGGTCTCTGTCTGGTGGGTATATATTCCGGCAGCTCGCAGTCACATCGACGTCGTGGAGTCGACTTCAATCGTCGGGACGATGGACGCGATGAACTTGAGGAATACGATGAGATAAAAGTCGACGCGCATGCCCTCGACCTCCTCGTCCTCGGCAGCCCCTGGCGTCAGAGCGTCCTTGCCGCTCCCGCTCGTTTTGCGGCCGAACCACTTCTTCTTTCCGCCGTCTTTGGAGGATTTGCGCTGTGCGAGCTGCTCTTCCACAACACTGTTGTTCATGCGCTCGATAACCTTCTTCATGACGCTCGCGTGCTTGCACGGATGCACAGACGCGGCTTGTAGCGAGGCGGAATGCGGGAACGGCTCGATGGTCACCGTCTTGAATGCATGGTCGGCGGAGATGTCTTGGAAGATTTGCGGCGGAGTCAATGGTGTGCGATTCTACGGTCACCCGTCATGAGGCCAGTAAGCGGACATTAACGATAACGGACCTCATCGTAGCCGATCAACCAGATGCGCGGGGTTTGGTAGTACTTGTCGTAGGTTATCATGACATCGTACGTCCGCACCTGGAGCAGATTACCGTTCGCGACCTCTACCTGGCTGAAAGGAGCATATTAATGGGGAAATAAAGATGAGTCGGGGGGATATGTTACCTCACGGCAACCTTGGTTGGTGCAGCGGCAGCATCGTCCTCCTCGAGCCCCTCTTCCTCCATATCCGGTATATCGTCAATATCAGGCGTGACGTCTGCGACGACGGCATGGGCAACGGACTCGTGTTGTGCGCCATCGAGGTCGGGAATGTCGTCGATGTTGCCCGGGTTGTTTGCTTCTGTGCTGATTTTGCGCCCAGCATGCGTCTCGACCCACTCGTCTGCACCCGTCGAGTCCCCAAAGTTAAGCAGTCGTTCCGCGTCCTCGTCGGCGTCCGTGTACGCAAGCGCAGTCGCTCGACGCAGGCAGGGTACCCCGCGAGTCACAAGGTACTGTTTGTCCGCCGGCAGATAGTCTTTAGCTTTGGATGCATCACCGCCCTCCCTGCCAGTATGAATACGGAGCATTTAGTGGGGCGAGGGGACGAACCAGCTCCAGACGGGGAACTTGTACGCGAGGAAATCGCCTGCTGCGACAAACTCCTCTATGCAGGCGTTTGAATCAGAGGATCCGGATGTTCGCAGTCAGGCGCACCGGGGTTTATACGTCCATGCTCCTTGAACTTGCTTTCTTTGAGAACCTGCGCAGGATGAGAACTGGAGCAGCGCGCGCGGTTGCAGGGAGCAGCTCACGGGGCTGAGGTACTCGCGGACGGACCAATAGTGTTGCTGGTCGCGAAATGAGGATCGTCCGACGGAGATGGAATCGAACGCACCTGAAGCGCGTGCATATCGAGGATCGATACAGAGAGAGTGGTCACATGTCACGGCTACGGAACGGGATCAAAGGGAGAATTAGATCAAAGTTCTCACCCACATAGCGCCTCAACGGAGGCTCCGATTGCCTCAATTTTTTTGCGTACGGCTAGGGCCAGTATCTAGCCATGGAATGGAAACTTTCTCAGAGCACCGAACGTCAAAACAAGGTATATAACTGTGATTTAGTTGATTCAACTTGATTTGGCTCCTGCTCGCTTTCTAGAAAAGCTTTAAGCAAAATTCGCAGCTCTCCAAGGCCGATGGTGTAGTTGGTTATCACTTCTGTCTAACATCCTAACGTTACAAGCGTCGATGTGCACAGGCGGTCCTCAGTTCGAACCTGGGTCGGCTCATTTTTGGTTCGAACGCCTCATTTTGTTCGAACGCCAGCCATAGAGAAGGATGCCATGGAAACACTGAAGACATACAGCAAGTAAACAGGACCAGGCAGGCACAAGGTATGGTACAAGAGGTTACGTTGTGTTGGTGAGGACTACAAGTAGCCGGACCATGCGGCAGGAGCTGTAGGACACCGGACCAAGATGACGGACTTGCAGACACAACGAGCAATGACCCTGGATTATTTTTCACGGACACGAATTGCTAGCCAGAACGCACCAGCTTCACCGAACCACCCCATCTCTGGCCATCTTGAACATTAACCTGCACGAGATTTACACAAACGACGCCGACACGAACAAGCTAACTGTTGGATACTACTGCTCTGCACCACCTACAACCCTCGCTCCGTTGAAACACCATGGTGTCTACCAGGGGAGGAATAAGCCTCACAAGGAAGGACAAAATCTCTGATGTGTCAGTGCTGAAAACATCACAAACTCAAACAGACACTACAAACTTACTGACTCATTACAAGATTTGCTCAAAACATCACAAACTTACTGACTTGCGACTGCAAACATCACAAAGTTGGACCAACCCTCACCAGCTAACTGACTTAGTATCAGATTTACTGACTTGCTAATTAGAACATCATAGACTCCAATGTGTAATCACAAAGTATGTAATTATTGGATTTTGTTGTCTGAACATCTGAAAACACTCGATGCTCATTCAGGATCAGTTGAGCATTGAAGATTCATAATCTGCTGTGAAAGCAGAGTATACATAGTATACCACACAGCCCCGTAAAGTAGTGACCTAGATAGTATAACTGGAAAGCTTTGATCAACACATCACATGGGACCAACAAACACAAGACACACCGGAACAAAGGACTCTCGCTTCCCATATCCCTAAACTCGGCCCTCCTGCTCTCATCAATCCCTTCGCGCTCGCAGTAGGCATCGCGCTTCTTGTTGATGCGGTTGTAATCCCACATCGTAAAGCAGCTTAGGAGGATACTGTTTATTTTATTTTAGAGAGAGCAGGGTAATCAAAGAGAGTGAGACGTACGAGAGACCGAGCCATCCCATGATTGTGCCATGGCCAATGTGGAAGCGCGGTGGTTGGTAGTAGATGAACGAGGAGCAAATCCTGTGCATTTATTAAGACCGGACTGTTTATTTGCAAGAAACAAGGACATACCCGCCGAGGTTCCCAAGACCGATGACCATAGCAATGACAACGCCTTTACGGACGTCGCCACCGGCCATGCTACCGGCCCATGCGAGGTTCACAGCAATCGTTGGATACACGCCAACCGCAGCCAAGATAGCGCCGACATATGCAGCACCGGGCTTTGTTTGCGTGTAAAGCACGATATAGCTGGAAATGAGTCAGATGGAGAACCATTAGAAATCGCGAGGTGGAGGGGACCGATCCAACTGACCCCACGAGGGCCACAAACGCTGGGCCAATTATGAATGGGCCTCTCAGGTGGTATCTATCAGAGAGGAAGCCGATGGCGATCGTGGCTACACAACCACAGATGAAGGGTGGTACGGTTAGCAACTGGGCTTGAGCAGCGGTGAACCCAAGCTGCTGCACGATAGTAGGTGTGAACAGCGCGATCGCATACACTGGGATGAGGACCCCCATGTAGATGATGACTTGTATGTAGGAGCGAAAGTCCCCCAGTGCTTGCCAGACAAACTTGATGTCGTAGTGCGTGGCAAGGTCTTGCGTATCTTCCTTGAGCATCTGCACGATTTCCGCGCGTTCTTCTTCGGTGAGGAAAGACGCAGTTGCAGGGTACTGCAGAGAAGTGTTAGCGGGTACACGGAGAGAGAAGAAATCGAAGTGACCTACGTCGTACATGTAGAAATACGACGCAAAAGCGACTGCATCCAGGGGGGTTAGTATCAGCACTGGTTGAATTGCTACGATATGCATACCCAAGATGGTGGCTGCAAAGTTGTCAGACATGTTTTGACCAGATTCAGAGTCTTACCGAGCCCTTCCAGGAGGAAAATCCATTGCCATCCATGGAGCTAGACCGTTGTGAGGACGCGAGAGCCAAGGAAACCTTCCAGGACGTACACCGCCAATCCCCTCCATCTTTTCGATGGCAAACGCGAGGATACCACCGAAAGCACCTCCAAGGTTGTCAGTCATTGACGTGTGTGTATTTCATTCGCGTGCTTACCCGCGATCGTCGCAGCAGAGAAGAAGATGGCGACGCGTGATGCAACATCCCGTCTACGGTACCACAAAGAGAGGTAGAACGTAATCTGAAGGCGCGATGAGCTTGAATCAAGGGTAGTCCGCACCGACTTACGCCTGGGAACAGTCCTGCCTCGGTAAGGCCGAGGAAGATACGAGCACTGCGATTGCATGAGCCAAGTATAGTTAATTGGGAGGCCGACTGACATGATGAGTTGATGATATGTGTTGCAGAGGCACATTAAGGTCATGACGAGCCCTAGAGATAGGCTTGAAAGCACGGCAGAGAGTTACAACACGAACGAACCCCATGCGAGCATGATCGACGGGACTGGAAGGACATGAGCGAATGAAATGCAGGAAAGAGTGAGTACATACTCCATCGCGATGGTCGAACGAGCTTCAGAAGAATGTTCCTGCACGATTTGAGTGACCACTTCCTGGATGAGAATCCGCGCGCTTACGAAGGGACCTCTGCAAACGCGTAAAGAATCTTCAGCAGACGTGAGAAGCGCAAATGACAGAAGCAACAGGACGCACGAAGAACACGGCGGCGATCTGACAGGTATGAGAAATGACGCCTGGCTCAGGAACAGCCGACGTACGATGTTGTACCGAAACCCGACCAGATTGGCGTCTCGCGCCATGCCTGGCCGTTATTCAGTAACAATGCATGCGCCGGTTCTTGAATGGCAACGCACCAGCAACTTTAGCATTTCCCTGCAAAGAAAAAACAAGTGAGACATCGCGTCTGGTAAAAGTTGTCGAAGCAGTACTATGTTTGATCGGTCACTGCGGGCCACATAAGCTGCGTGCAACTCGGAAGAACAAGGCACCATACAGGAAGGACAGCAGGTAGAGCAGCGAGACGAAGGGGAGCAAGTGAACATCAAGCTTGCGGAGGATCCTGGCGCGCGCGGCAGGGTTGGGCTCGAGCGACTCGTTCGAGACGGCGACCTCATGTTTCTCGGCCTCGTCGTAGGACATCTTTTCGTTGGTGGTGGCAAGGGCGGACATGGCGGCAGGAGACAAGTCGCGGAGCTAAGAATTGCTTTTGGTTTCATTTCTCGTTGTTTGCCGAGTCAGCTGTGAAAGGTGGGGTAGCCGATCAATGCCGGGTCGGTCACCTGTCCGAGAGATTCGGAGCCAAGTAGAGACATTGGTTATCTAGGAACCCCAAATGACCGTGCTTTCCCTCGAGCGCGCTTTGTACTCCCTCCTCTTGTACCACTTTGGCTCCGGCTCCTCTTCCCTGTACCCTTCGACGTCGACGATGCGCCCTTGGATGATGTGCCTGAGCTCGGGCAAGCTTCAAAACAGTCAGAGACCCAAGGAAAGAAATATGCTGAGATAATACCATTGGAGTAATGCCCCTCGACCCCGCATTTATAACAGCTTCCGGAGCCGCCGCCGCCCGACGTGGACTTGGATCGTCCACCTCCACCACTCGGACATTCTGCGCGCTACTCAGCCAGATGCAGGAAAAGCAAGGGAAGGTATACCATTGGAAAAATGACCCTCCTGGCCACACTTGTAGCAACTCCCACTCGACGCTGACTTGGATCGACCACCACCATCGCCTCCAGGGCAGTCTGTGGAATTTAGCCGCATGTAGTGCGAATGAAAAGTGGTTCAAACCGTTCGAATAGTGTCCCTCCTTCCCGCACCTGTAGCAACTCCCGTTCGCTGTAGACTTGGTCTTCCCGCCGCCGTTTCCAGGGCAATCTGCTTTAAACTCAGCGATAACGATAGATATGCAGAAACGGGTGGCCGACCGTTGGAATAATGACCGTCCTTCCCGCACTTGTAGCAGTTAACGCTCGGGGTTGACTGGGTTCTACTTCTGCTCGAACTCCCTCCGGTCGGACAATCTACAGAAGATCCATGTTAGAGGATTAGATAGCCGACATCCTGCTTTACCTAAACTTAGATGGCCTTCTTGGTTACACTTGTAGCAAACAGCCGAAAATCCACGATTTTGAGAGGTCGTTCCTCCGAAGGAGCGTGTTTTTGAGGCATCGCTGTTTGGACAAGCTGACGACATTTAATTGGGTTTTAGTCAAACGAACAACCACCTACCACTAGCCCAGTGTCCAGCTTCGTTGCACTTGAAGCAGACGTCGGACGGCGCTCCACCAAACGTTGAAGTAGACGACGATCCAGCGACGTTGTTCGCCCGCGGCGCCTCGTCGTCCCACTCAAAAAAGGCGCACTCTGAACCCTGAGCGTTTGCGCATTTCCAGAACTTGCGTCCCTTGTTATTGGACTCTTTGAGGACTGTTCGCTGAACTGCTGCAGACCCGCACTTGCACTGGCGTGAAGATGCGTCCTTCGGCGTTGCGGGCCGCTGAAACAACGTTTAACCCCAAAAGAAAAGAAGAAGAAGAAAAGGATTCGCGACAGAGAGAAAGCAAATCTCACCTCGGAGAAAGAACGTTTTAGTGGCATTGTCGAGGCTGAGCTACCTGCAACTGGGCCGGCGTTGTCGTCGGCCCATTGAAAGAACGTGCAAGCCCTGGTATCGCAGGTCCAGAACTTTCTGCCCTTGCTTTCGGACTCTTTCGTGACCGTCCGTTGCACGGCCGGGGCGTTGCATTTGCATCGTACGAGCTCTTGATCGTCGTTGGGGGGAGCGACGACGGGTCGTGTTGGCGCTTGTTTTACCGGAGGCGGAGGCGCGGGAACAGTGGCTGCCCGGCGGATTTGTTGTGGAGGAGGAGGCGGGCCATTGTTGAAGTCGTCCTCGTCGAGATCAGAAAATGAAGGACTCCGTGCGCGTGGTACTGGT